CTGCAATGCACAAGGACCTGGGTTCAATTCCAGGTGGGCATGCACAATTTTGTTAAAAAACTTAGTATATATAAAAAAAAAAAAAAACCTCCTTTTCCGGGGACCCCGGGATTTGAACCGGGGTCCCCTGGCCTGGCAGCCAGCTAGCTAACCACCAGGCCACAGGCCTCTTGATAGAAAACATTTCGGAACTTATATTTAAAGGTTAGGATTGCGCAATTTCAAAAAGGTCAGAGGACACAGCTAATCTGCATATATTTAAATAAACAATTTGAATATGCAGAGAGACAGTATATCCATGAGGGTAGAAACTGATTGATAAATATTTTGATGAATTCAGTTTAATATAAATCTGTATGTCAATCAAGTACTTCTATACAACTACTTCAAAATATTAATTTTAATATTATGTACAAAAATCAACTGGCGTAATGTAACATCACTTTGAGAAAGATCCTGCGGACATGGAAATTTCTTTCGATCAGAGGCATCTCAGAGAAAATTTTGTCAGTTTTCACGAAGAGGCAATTTTCTCATTGGATTGCAAAACATAGGTTTTGAGAAAATCGCATTTGAAGTTGGTCTCTTTTTCAAACGCTTAATTTCATAGACTTTAGCATTCCTTTAAATTCACCAATGCTACACCATGAAAGAGGGGATGTCACATGACACAAAACTACAAAACTTATATTTGTAGAGGTTAATTAAAGTTGTTCATTTTGTAAACAAACAGGATTGTTTGTTCGTGAAATCCTAAAATTCGTGCTTAAAATTGTCTCTTTGTGAAAACTCAACAAACAGTACACGCTCTCGCTATAGCGTGTGTGCCAGGTGCAACATTGTTACATTTGTATTCATTGGCTGGAGTCAAATTGTCTCTTCGTGAAAACTGCAAAACCAGTTTTGCCCATGGTTTTGATCTTTTTGCCAACGTTACATCTATGGAAGACAAAATTGTCTCTTTGTGAAAACTAAGAATGCAGTTTAGTTGAATATTACCTCACAGAGATAAACGTGATTTGGGTGATTTCAGTAGGTTTGGTAAAAAATGATTACATTAAGTTGTAGGCATTGCAAAGCCTAGTTGATTTTGCCAAAAAAAACTTGAAAAAAAATCATGATTTTGGGTTGAATTGTCTCTTCGTGAAAATTGTGACGATTTGGTAATAACAAGCCTCTTGTTCGAGCTACTTGTAACTTGGAATATCAATTGGGAGAAAAAAAAATTAAAATCTTCGAGAAATACCCCGCTTTTTTAAAGCTTTGAGGTTTCAAAAGAGTTCTAATCTATCTACATTTATACACAGCGGCTAAAGGCATAATTATGATTTTGTGCAATCTAATGCTCAGAATGCAAAATACTGATTATATTGTAAACTAAATGATAACGTTTGGAAACCAACTTGAAGGGTAGCTGCAATCAATTTGTTTGAATACAACCTTTGAAATGCATCCTTTTTTCTCAATGAACCTGATTTCTGGCTTTCCTTTCAGTATTCCAAAGGGTAATTTACTGTCTATTAGGTTTTTATGCTAATGAGGATTTCCATATTCATAGTAAAAGTGTAACGTCATTCCAGGAAGAAAGCCTCAATGATGGATCGTTTGTACTCAAAAGAAGTCCTTTATTTTTGTAGATTTTGCTGGACACAAATTTCTCGTCTTTTACTGATTCATTTTTGTCTTTCATTGATAGCAATAAGCAAGCATTAATCCCTTTATCAGACCCTTTATCAGACTGGACTTCGCAGCAGTAGCGCCCTCAGTTGTCCAGGAAGGCTTGGATAATTTCAAGTGTTAAAAAGGTGCAGGTTTCAATGTACTGTATGTAACCAAACAGGAATGTAAAAACACATCGAACAAGCTAACAAAGTTCCCCCCCCCAATTTTTTTCAAACATATTGCATCGCAGCTACGCTTTAAAATAAGATTTTTTTTCTAGAGACAAACATACACCCTTGATACCAAAACTAACCTGCAATTAAATTTGCTTTTTCCTTTAACTAAAAACATCTGTATTTCAAGCCTGAAACCAGGTTTACTGGTGTCAAGACCATGCTAGCTACTTTTGGGGGGAATCTAATCTTTGAGCTTTGGAGCACCCTGTTTGTAGTGGCCAAGTCTGTGACGTGAAGCCCCTCTAAGGACCACGGTAGACAAGAACCACTTCACCCTGCTAGGCATGCTGATGTTCCTTTGCCTGCATTGTGAGAACAAAATGTCAATTCTGTTTAGGTCTTTCATGTTACATTTAACCATTTCACAAAGATACGAGGCCACATGGATAACAACAGATTTTGCAAGGTTTTGGTTTTAAATCAGAAAGTCTGCACTTTTTATTTAAATGAATTAGTTTTGTTGGAAGTTCTTGACTTTTTGGTACCCATCATGGAAGGTAACATTTAAGTCTCTCATCTGTCATTCTATAAAATGCTGTTTTAGTCTATTGACTAGTCTCTCCAGTACTTTTCTACTAGTCTTCCATATTTTCTGCTGTCCAATTTTCCCTAGCATTTTCTCTTGAAATGTAGCCATAGGAAATCTTGTTTTTGGCCGCATCCTTTACAGTGTTTAAGTTTTTTGTTTCATTCATGTGCACTAGCTTTTTCAGGTTTCTTTAAGTTGATTTGTGCTGACATTTGAGCTGTCTTATTTGAAGGCTGAACATCCTACCAACTATGAGAACCCTGGGAGGTACTGTAGCGCCAGTCAATGTCCATTCTTATGCAAATCATGATACATCATGCAAACACAATGAAGATTTCATCTCAGTTGGCCTGCATAAATCCAAGTTAAAGGAACCAGGAAATAGAAATATTTTTATAAATTTTACTAAAAACCCTTGAAATTGCATCTTTGGGTTTCAATTAATCTCATNTTTAAATTTTTGTTTTGCAATTTTACCCCATATTTTGATGCTTTTTTGTTTTATGCTAATGCATATTTGCATATTCATGAGCAGAACTATGATGTCATCCAAGGCACTGAATCTCGGTGTTGCACTGATTTGTGAACAGAAAATTTCTAGATTTTTTTAACCATTGCTATGGCAGATTTTGTTTTCGGTGACAATTTATTGCTGTGTAAGCATATGGCATTAATCCAGCAAAAATCCTTTTCACAGAAATGTTCCCAGATTTGGGATTCACAATTTGAAAAGAAAACATGCAACTTGAACCACGTCTTCCTGGATTTAAGTCAAAGCAAAAGCGCCCTCACTTGTCCAGAAATGCTTGGTCAATTTTCAATGTTTGAAAAAGTACACCGTTCAGTTCACATAAACCAAAAAAGATGTCAAACAGTCTTCATACATTGAAGAAGAGTACAGAGATACACAAAAGGCGATTCTAAGAAAAAGCAATTCCCTGGTTCCTTTTAAGTCACCTTGTTTTCTAAATGAGAAAATAAAGAAACTGAAATTGAGGTTACACCTGCAATTGAAGCTGAATAGTCGGGCTCCTTCTGACTTTAGAGTGGAGGATAAATGAAGTGGATTCAGGAAATTAACACAATCCAAAATGGCCATCTTGTGGACACATAATAGAGAATAATTATGTACATGTATGCGCATGATTACACCCACTGCACATTACAAAGAATCAGAATGCTAAAATTCAGCCAAATCTTCATTCCAAGTATCAAGCAAAAAAGATTTCTGAAGTATTTATGAAACACACAGCACAATTTATTTTTTGAATGATTTTGAAAGCTTTTTGAGTCATTTGAATCACAATTTAAAGAAATGCTTTCATTGACACAACTGTGACAATTTGTTGAAACCCTGTTTTCAAATTTAGTTAATTTTTTAGGAATCTTCTTGTCAGACCTCTGCCTGCCTAAGTATGGAGTGCTGCACATTTCACTTAAAGGTGCTGTCCACTATTTGCAGTTAGCCAAAAAAGTATCTGATGAAATTGTTCTTAAAAAACAAACTTGGTTGACAGATGGCTATGGAACTAAACTCCCAGTGAACTTATTCTTTCTGGGGAGTTGTCATTTGAACAAAATAAAGAAAGAAGACCATTTCTGATGATGCATCTGAAGACACATTTTTGTAATTCAAACATGACTCACAGATTCAGAAACTGTTGATCTGAAATCCAAATCCTACAGTATCATTTTTCTCAAAGGAGAGTATTCACTGAGCTGAAACTTCATCAGGTTTGTTCTCAGGTGATCTTCTTTAGATTTGAGTAATTTTGCTGCCTGAAAGGAACATGATGCACAATGGATCAGGCAAATGATGGACTATACCTTGAACACATGGGAAGCTATGGTCACTATTCACAATATCAAACATGCAGGGACAGTTGGCACATAATAAAAAGAATCAATCACGGCTCACCTGTGCTCCTTCAGCCAGGTAACCTCATCCCCAAGAAAGGCCAAGGTAAACACAACACTGAAAGGAAAACAACAAGAATCCAATTTGTTAAATCTTCAGCAATTTCAAGCCATGGTGCCTTTGCAAATGACTCCAGAAACACAAGACACTTTAGCTCATGACTCCATATTTACTGGAAGTGTATTCAAAGCCAAACTTTTGAAGAATAAGTCCCTGCTGTGTAAAAGGTCCCTCAATGAAACTGCTTAGAGCTGGGATTGGTCACTCAAACCTGGATGGTTAGAGGATCATGTTCACCTGCTGGTTCATGTTGCTGAAANATTAAATTTTTGTTTTGCAATTTTACCCCATATTTTGGTGCTTTTTTTGTTTTATGCTAATGCATATTTGCATATTCATGAGCAGAACTATGATGTCATCCAAGGCACTGAATCTCGGTGCTGCACTGATTTGTGAACAGAAAATTTCTAGATTTTTTTAACCATTGCTATGGCAGATTTTATTTTCGGTGACAATTTATTGCTGTGTAAGCATATGGCATTAATCCAGCAAAAATCCTTTTCACAGAAATGTTCCCAGATTTGGGATTCACAATTTGAAAAGAAAACATGCAACTTAAACCACATCTTCCTGGATTTAAGTCAAAGCAAACGCGCCCTCACTTGTCCAGAAATGCTTGGTCAATTTTTAATGTTTGAAAAAGTGCACTGTTCAGTTCACATAAATCAAAAAAGATGTCCAACAGTCTTCATACATGGAAGAAGAGTACACAGATACACAAAAAGTGATTCTAAGAAAAATTCAATTCCCTGGTTCCGTTTAAGTCACCTTGTTTTCTAAATGAGAAAATAAAGAAACTGGAATTGAGGTTACACCTGCAACTGAAGCTGAATAGTGGGGCTCCTTCTGATTTTAGAGTGGAGGATAAATGAAGTGGATTCAGGAAATTAACGCAATCCAAAGTGGCCATCTTGTGGACACATAATAGAGAATAATTAAATATGCGCATGATTACACCCACTGCACATTACAAAGAATCAGAATGCCAAAATTCAGCCAAATCTTCATTCCAAGTATCAAACCAAAACGATTTCTGAAGTATTTATGAAACACACAGCACAATTTATTTTTTGAATGATTTTGAAAGCTTTTTTGAGTCATTTGAATCACAATTTAAATCAATGCTTTCATTGAAACAACTGTGACAATTTGAGGAAACCATGTTTTCAAATTTAGTTAATTTTTTTAGGAATCTTCTTGTCAGGCCTCTGCCTGCCTAAGTATGGAGTGCTGCACATTTCACTTAAAGGTGCTGTCCACCATTTGCAGTTAGCCAAAAAAGTATCTGATGAAATTGTTCTTAAAAAACAAACTTGGTTGATAGATGGCTATGGAACTAAACTCCCAGTGAACTTATTCTTTCTGGGGAGTTGTCATTTGAAGACATCAAAGAAAGAAGGCCATTTCTGATGATGCATCTGAAGACACATTTTTGTAATTCAAACATGACTCACAGATTCAGCAACTGTTGATCTGAAATCCAAATCCTACAATATCATTTTTCTCAAAGGACAGTATTCACTGAGCTGAAACTTCATCAGGTTTGTTCTCAGATGACGTTCTTTAGATTTGAGTGATTTTGATGCCTCAAAGGAACCTTATGCACATAGGATCAGACGAATGATGGACTGTCCCTTCAACAAATGAGACGCTATGATCACTATTCACAATATCAAACATGCAGGGACAGTTGGCAGATAATAAAAAGAATCAATCACGGCTCACCTGTGCTCCTTCAGCCAGGTAACTTCATCTCCAAGAAAGGCCACAGTAAACACAACACTGAAAGGAATACAAGAAGAATCCAATTTGTGGAATCTTTGGCAATTTCAAGCCATGGTGCCTTTGCAAATGACTCCAGAAACACAAGACACTTTAGCTCATGACTCCATATTTACTGGAAGTGTATTCAAAGCCAAACTTTTGAAGAATAAGTCCCAGCTGTGTAAAAGATCCCTCAATGAAACTGCTTAGAGCTAGGATTGGTCACTCAAGCCTGGATGGTTACAAGCTCATGTTCACCTGCAGGTTCATGTTGCTTAGACTAGAGCTAGGATTGGTAACTCATCAAGCCTGGATGATCTGAGGCTCAAATTTACTTGCAGGTTCATGTTGCTGAGACTAGAGCTAGGATTGGTCACTCAAGCCTGGATGGTTAGAGGCTCAGGTTATTCTGCTGGTTTGTGCCTGTGTTCATGAACAAGACATTTCACCCCTTCTATAATAACAGCATATTACATGGAGCTATTCACGCCATTTCAATGGGATACTTACATCAACATACAGGTCAGAGCACCTGGACGGTCATTCTTGAGATGGTTTGCCAGTGAAACAAACTATAGAAGACAAAAACAGTAAACTCTGGCAGGAAAAAGAAAGGTGTAAATCTCTGTTAAGGTGGTTACGCCTGAGACAAGTTTGAGTGATGACTGTGGTTTAGTGTTTTGACAGATATCAGGGAAATGATGGACAGTAGAAAGGAAAGAGATTAGAATAGAGAGAAAAAGAAAGAAAAGACCATGCTGCTACTATTTGTAACAGGGATAGGAACATGATCAACAGTTTCTGTGCAGGACGGATTCATTGATAGTGAAGCAGAATCCAGCAATCATACAGATCAATCAATTAACCCCCCAGAATGCCTCCATGGTGAAGTGTGCAATCAGGCAAGGAAGCCAAAATAAAAAAAAGGAAAATACAAGACAGTCCACAGGTCATCTTCTAAGTCCTTTAAAGCACACGATTTCAGAGACTGATGTTCCCTACATTTCATTGAGACTGTAAGCAATAAGCACGGCAAATGGCACATTTACTGTTTGTCTGATGGAAATTTGCTCAACTTAGTGTGCCCAACTGTTAGCAAACTTACCATTTAAAAGGTTAGCAAACTTTTCTGCTGCATACATTTTTTTGATGGCTGCATCAAGTGGAAAATTCAACTTTATTTTTAACAAGGAAAGATTTTCAGCTGAAGCAGATACATTATTCAATTTCTGCCTGCAGGGGCCAATTTCATAGAGCTGCTTAATGCACAAAAGTTGCTTAAGCATGAAAAAACCTTGCTTGACAAATCAGGTTACCCGCCAAAACTCTTTGTAATGTGTATTGTTTTGGAATGGTATTCATCTGTCATTTGGTTAGCATGACAGTCACACAGATTTTGAGCTGGTAACCTTTGTTTTTTAAGCAAGGTTTTTTGTGCTTAAGCAAATTTTGTGCTTAAGCAGCTCTATGAAATTGGCCCTGACCCTATAGGGGAGGGGAAAGGTTATCCCCCCTCCCACATACAGTGATATCACACCTTCCTTCGCTTTCCATCCCACGCAGCTCCCCTCCCCCCATCAAAAGATTTTTCCCCTCTTTTTTTCCCCTTTTCATGGGTGAAG